GCACTGGTTTCCGGTTTCGTCTTTTTGCTAATTTCCATTTCCTTTTCCATAACTGACTTCTCTTTTGCTTCCTCTTCTTCACCTTACTATTCAAAGATCAGATTCAGGAGATTCAAGCTGGATCTTCTGGAGGTTCATTGGCTGGCGATACGGCATCACCATTGCGCGAAGATGCTGCCACCAGTGGCGGTAGTCCATCGGTGACGTCAACCAATCAGCTGAGCGCATTCATGAACATGGCCACCAATCCGCTAATGTGGAATGCAATGTTGTGAGTTATTTGGTTATTGCTCGGTTTATGTTTTGGTAAATTTCAAGTGCCATTAGGCCAGTTTTATACGGAAATTGTAAAAATTTGGGATTTTACTCCGTCATTTTTGAAAATTTTGGCACCGAACGTGTTACCACCACCCTTTTTTTCATTCCAGTCTTACGATTTATGTTGAAATTTTTCTTATAGAGTAAATTCTTCAACTCATGGCTCTGCTTTTTCTCTCAATGATGGCCAATGTGTTTCGATGCTGATGAAAATGGCTCTTGATCTTGATCTCACTTTATCATACCATAAGCGGAGGTAAGTTAGTATTTGTGGTGGTTCTATATTGGTTAAGCGAGTGTTAAAGAACCGGTTATAGGGGCGACATAGAACTTTGTTTTGAGAGCAACCGAACGGCTGAAAAAAGCGGAGGGCGAGGCAAGGTTCTCTGCCTTTCAGATATGGGCAGAGAGATAAGGTACAGGTGACGATTCTGAATCATTTGCTTTGTTCCCTAAGCTTATCGTCTTTGTGCGTATAGGCTCATTGGCAATTATTTTAGAGTTATCGAAAGGGTGAACGGAACGCCAACTGACACAGAAATGTGGACCAAAACCGATTTCAATCAGTTCCATTGGGCAATCCGTGGAAAGTGTCAAAAAGTACTGGTGAAAGGCTAGGTATCTGTTTACCCATGCCGATCTCTAACCAATCAAACTGGTGCCTAAGAATATATCCCGAGTGACACACTGAGAGTATACATGAGAGTTCTGTCCATAGAGATTGTCTCCTCATTATTTTACCGTATACTGCCTCTGCTTACCCCGCGTACAACGCTTTCACCGACAAAACAGTCCTTCGTATGCCTTTATTCTGCCGTTCAACGGATGTAATATTTTAGCAAAAATTTATTTGAGATTTTCTGAGTTTTCTTCTTTGACAAGTTGTCTACATAACTCATTAGTGATATGATGTTCCTATCCGGTTACTTTTTTCCTTTTTTATGCATTATTATTCTTGTGTATTATCTGCCAAATTCCTGCCGCCGAATTCATTTGCTGGGTCGCCTCCAACGACTCTTTGAGTGCCGATTGAAGCGGGTCACAGTTTTCTCCTATCATTTCTGAATGCATATGTTCTCTATCCTTTCCTCTCTTGAACAAATCTCTGTAATTTCTGATAATTATAGGTGCTGATTATCATATTTTTCGACACCGCGCTGACTTTATTCTTTCAATGCTTTCGAATACTGTATCATCAATTGTGTGTATTTTTTTATTAAGGGATCAACTATAGTCCTTAAAAAGACAGTATATTGAGAACAATAAACTATCCCAACTTTATTCTAGATCACAACCCTTCAAAGTGATCTGAAGTGTTTGAAACTTTTATCTATGTAAGAGTGAGTATGAAATCTAACTCTTAGTTCTTTGGAAATGAGATGTCTCTACGCTTCTGAAGTAGCGTACCCCAAACTTTAAAAATAATAGCATGCAATCCAAATCACACTATCTGAGCTGTTCTTACTTACTGTTCTTACTTTTTCAGACATTTCTATGTGAATTTAACTAACCCATTGAATTTACCGTGCTTAGATCATAGTAACGCTTGTGATTTTTTGTCACTTGAGGGGATCTATTAGGTCATCCCAAA